TCAATTTAAATTTGGATGGATTGGCCAAAGATAGAACCAGTTAAATGGAATGATTTCGAAGAATAAGTACCAAATAAGGCATTGAAACTTATCTCCAGGGCATCATTGTGTTCTTCCAATTGTAGTTCAGGTTCCATGGGATCAGGGACTATGGGATCTGGGGGCTCATCCTCTTCTGGTCCTTCCAAAAACAATAGGGAAGCACGTGCTTTGCATTTATGTCCATAAACGAATTTTTCATCACAATTGAAACAGAGATTTTTTTTCTCTCCTTACTTGTATCTCAGCTTGAGATAAACGGCGAATAGGAATAGTGGGTATTGGTTTAGGTTGAATGGTGGATGTGAGACCCAATGGATTAGTGGTTTTGGGTGGTGACAAAAACTGGTGTTGGGAAGTGGGAGTAGTGGTTGTGGGCTGTCGAGTAAGCCAAGGCCGCATGGGTTTTTCTTCAGATTGCTGGTCTTCAAAAACTTTGGCTAAGGCTAATGCTTCATGCCAATCAGTAGGGCATTGAGTGAGCACTGAACGACGGATGCGAGGTTTGAGTCCTGAAATAAAAAGACCACGTTTCATAGTGGTTGATAAACCAGGAACCTTACTGGCAGCAACTTCAAATGTAGATTGGTAATCAATAACCAAACCCTGTTGTTGTAACTTAGCTAGGGCACCAATGGGTTCATCAAATTCAGAAGGGCCAAACCGTCTGTGTAACGCTGTGATAAATGAAGCCCAAGTTGGGAGTAAACCCTCATCACTAAGACCCCTAAACTAGCAAGCCGCGAGGTCCTCCAAATGGAATGACACAATTAGTAATCGTTCTTCATCACCAATTTGATAATACTGACAATATTTGTCTACAGCAAAAAGCCAAGAGGTTGGGTCACCAGAAGAAAATCTGGGAAAAATGAGTTTAAATGGACGTTGTTTGCCCAGATCTGAGCTGCTAGCGTTATACTTTGAATCCGGTCCAGAACCAAGTATACCAGAATGAGAGTAACCACCAGAGTTTTGCCCATCAAGTATACGTTGTAATGCTAGCTTGATTTGAGTCTGAGACTCCTGTAACTGAGCGTTGGACTCTTGTAGGTCCAAATGTTGTTGTCCACGTACTAATTCAGCTGAACGTAATTGCTGTTCTAGTATGTCTAAGCGGTGGGTTTGTTGTTCCAATGTCTCCAGTCGTTGAGTTACATCCCGCATCCGAGTGTTTTCAGCCATGGTATGGGAGGTTGAGTAAGCAACGAGAGCACCAAATGTAACGACAATTTAAGATCTCCAGGGAAGAATAGGTAGACGAGGAGAAGAAAGGGAACGTGAGGAGAGAGAGAATAAGAAGAGAGAAAGGTGAATCAACTTCTGCTTCCTATTACCCTAAATCAAAGTCATCATATAGTGCCATATTCCTATTGGGCCACCAATTCAAATACAGACTACAGTAATTCATTAAAAACAATATAAAATGACCTAGTAGGGCTGATAGTTACTAGAACCCCATATCCTTAACTAGTCTCATAGTCTTTTAAATAGGTGGGCTGCTTGCGGGCCCGTTTAGCCTTCTCCTCTGAAGCTTGAATTGGGCTTATCTCCAAACATGAATCCATTACAATTAATTTCATTTAACATTTATGTAGTGTAGAAATTTATATTATTTAACTTATATAGTATCAATTCATAAAACTAATCTATATCAGTACAGAACTATTTATAAATTTTCAATAATTTTTTTAATTAATATGATGCAATTAAAGGCACACAATAATGGAAAATTAAAAATATTTGTACAATTTTTTAAAATAATTATTACAAAAATTAAAAATATATATTTTTATATATATTCTCTTCATAAACTAACTAGTCATTATAAAAATATTTATAATTTCTCTTGAGAAAAATTATTATAAATACTAATGTACAAGTCCTATATATTAACGAGCAGGCCAAAAAACTAATTTACTATTCAATTGAAAAGATTACACTTTTACTTCCGACTCAAATAATTGAACTCTAATGTAAAAAATTGAAAGTAAAAATAAAATAAAAATAGTAATGCCTTAATTACACGCTCAAATTCCTTTGAATAATTCCCTTCAAATATCAATCCCAATTCGGGGAAGTTTTTACCATCTCATGTTAATTGGATGTGGTTGCATTAGATTGCCACACGCGTCTCTTTTTAATTGGATATCCAATCACTCTTTGAATTAATTTTTAGCCATTGTTAAGCCACTAGCAGGGGTGTAAACATTGTTATGAAAACCGGACCAGACTGGCCGGGTCGACGCGGAACACAGTGAATCGGTTATCTGACTGATCCGGTTATCATATTGCATCGGTCAACTTGGTATGACCCGGTGCGACCCGGCCGATTTTGGTGAAAAATCAATGACCCGACCGATTAACCGGTGATCTGGCCCGAGATTTAAAAAAAAAAGATATTTTCAAAAAAAAAAGTTTGAATAAAAAATATCATAATTGACATATTTGAGTGATCTGTTACTTATTGACTTACATAAGTTATGTACCTACAATCTTAATATTATCTTAATTATGCACTATGCAGAAAATTTTGATTTGATAATTAGAGATGTCGTTTACTGAACCTGAAACACCAACAAGCATTATGTGTTTGTTTGATCCTTTATTGGGCAATAATGTATAATTTATTAATTTTTATATTAAAATGTTTAGAATTTATATTATTTTTTTAGCTATTTGAGTATATTTATAATTTTTTAATATAAATTATAGATTTATATATAATCACCGGATCATGTGGTTGAACCAGTGACCCAGTATCTCGACTGGATCATTGACTGGGCCAGTTTTAATCACATTGGGTGTAAATGAGCTGAATCAAGTCAAGCTTTAGTTTAAACGAGTCAAGCTTATGAAATTTTTTTGAGCTTTGCTTGGCTTATTAACTTGGTACGAGCTAAATTATAGCTTAGTTTGTTTATAAGAAATTAAAGGCTTGACTTGACTCATTTATAATTATAATTTTTTTTTCAAACTCATATACATCCAAAGATTGAGACTATAAATGCATCAAATTTTGTATTCCTTCGTCAGAAAAAATAATAATCATAGAACCTACTCAGTCCACATATATTTTAAAATAAGTACCGCAATTTCTTCTTAAACATTAATCCAGCTCATGAAATCGAGAATGTTTGAGAAGAATATTTTAAGAAAAGTATGTAATATATATAGACTAACCTTTACAAAATAGGGTTAATGAATTAGTGATATAAAAATATATTATTTATTATAATAATATATCGGGCCAACTTGCGGACTTTTAAGCTAAGCCTCATTAAATTAGGCTTGGGCTTGTTTGCTAAACAATTTTTTTTAAAACTTGAGCCCGTTCTATTTATTAAATAAGTCAGGCCAAGCCAAATTTAAAATAAGCCAAACCTTTGACTCTTGAGAAGTGGCTCGACTTATTTACACCTCTAGTATGGAGCCCTCAACATCAATTTTTTTCCACTAACTTAGTCCTCCAATTTTTAATTTTAATGAAGAAGTATATTCTACAATAATGAAAATTTACTAGTTTATTATCTTCGGATTAAGTCCTTATAAATGTAAAAAAAATTTCTTTGAATATGAATGTTCCCATCTTAAACAAAATTTTCTCTCGTTGTAGAAAATATATATACAAAGAAAGACAATCCTGTTCGAGACAAGAACATTCATTTTCACATAAATTTTTTTCATCCCCAAGAAAAAAAAGCGTAAATACATTTTTTGGTCCTCAACAAATTTCACGATACCCACTTTAGTCCATAGTAGGGGTGTAAATGGGTCAGGCTAAGTCAGGCTTTGGCCTTCCTGGCCTAAGCCTACATAAAGAAATATTCAGCCTATCTGGCCTATTGACCTACTAAAGGCTTTATTTATAGGTCAAGCCCGACTTATTTTTAAAAAATGATCTATTAATCTCATGTTGCATAAGATAATTATCTGATGCAACAGAGACAAAATAGTGGGGTCCACTACTTTTTCAAAAAAAGAAAAAAAATAGTGGACTCCACTATTTTGTCTCTGTTGCATGAGATAATTATCTCATGCAAGATAAGATAATTATTTTCCTTTTAAAAATTAGAGAGCCTTATATGGCCTACAGGCCTTGTAGGCCTCCCTAGTGATATATTTTTAAATATTTTTAAAAATATTTTTAACAATTTTTAAAATATTCGCTTGACATTACAAGTTATTAACGTGTTCATAAGTTGCTGCATTTCTTTACACGAGATATAAATTTCACTAATGAGCATTAAAAATTTTACAATGGTAAAACAAATAACTATAAAAATATAGGGTTGGTACTGATTGCCACCTAAAATAAATATTTTATTTTATTTTATTTTAAAAATTTAAATAGGCCAGCCTACAAGGCTTTAGGCCAGACTTGACAAAATTGGCTTATGGCCTACTTGTTAAAAGCCTTTCTTATAAGCCTAAGTCTACTCTACTTTTTAATGTAGGCCGAGTTGTAGGCTAGGCCAGGCTAACTTGGCCCATTTACATCCCTAGTCTCTAGCAAATAAAAAGGCCCATCGTGGTCCCTAAGAAATTCAAAATGGACCCATTTTAGTTCTTGTAGGGACTAATATGGATCTTTTTTGAATTTGTGAAGGACCACGATTTTAACTAAATGAGTCCATTTTGAATTTCTTAGAGACCACGATGAGCTTTTTTATTTACTAGGGACTAAAACGGGCGCAGTTTGTCGAAGACCAAAAAAGATATTTACTCGAAAAAAAGAAAAAAGAAAAACTAGGGAAAGAGTCATCTTTAGTTCCATCAATCTAATGTCGTGTCTTTTCTTGGTTTCATCCCCAAGAAGCTTTATCGTTGTTTTCTTCTTCTATGATAGATTATATTTATATCCTCAAGAAACCAACACATTCATAACATTGCCTCTCTCGTCCTCTGTCTCCTAACATACCATCATTATCATAGGAAGAGAGGAAAAAACTAGGGAAATCATCATGGTTTCGTCGAACCAAAGACAACCGCCGCCATTTGCCGCCAAGTCCTCAGACAAATATGCCAACCCAACCTCAACACAGCCGCTGCCGCCGCCTCTCACCACCACTTATCCAACCCATCCGCCACCCGGATCAGTATACACGCAAGGTTACCCCTTATACACAAACGGATACCCTTATCCCCCCACCGCACCCCCCAACTACGGCACCCAAATCCGCCGCATACGACCCTTCTCATTGTATTGTGGTATATTAGCGGCGGTGTGCTTTTTCCTTGCGATCTTTATCATTGCTGTGGCGTTACGTCCAAAACTACCCGTTTACAAGGTTGTGTCCATGTCCGTCGCGAACTTCACCGTCACTCCAGCCTTGTCCGGCGAGTGGGACACCAACATATCCATCGAGAATCGCAACCACATGGTTAGGGTTTTTATCTCCGACTAGAGGGTGGACGTTATGTACAAAGAAGGTGTTGTGGCGGTGAATTATTCACCTGATTTTGCGCTGAACAAGAAAGATATAAGAGAAATGGACGTGAAAGCTTCGTCTAGTGATGCAAATGAAGCTTTGTTGGAAAAGACAACGATCGATGACATGGTTAAGGAGTTAGCCACTGGTTCCGTCACCTTCGCTTTGAGGGTGTCTTCCTTAAACGCTTTCAAGTTTGGTTTGTTTTCGATGAAGAGTTCAGAGGTAGTGGCAATTTGTTATGGGTTGAAGCTTGTGTTTCAGAATAACAATTCCACTGGGACGTTGAACAATGGGGGTAACCCCATCGAATGCCAGCAGCCAGCTTTATGATCGAGACTTGTAGATATATATAAAACTAATTTTGTATGTTAATTCTGTTACAAATTTTTATAATAATTGTGGGCTTTAATCAATTAATTGTAGTTTTTTTTATTTTAATAAAAATGGGCTAAGTCATGATCCATATAGGGGTGCAATATAAAGTCCAATTAACTAGTGATCTTTTTGATTTTGGCTTAGATATCTACAAGCTGATTAGTGTGGGTAACAGTGTAGGCCTAACCCATAGGCCCATGATGGAAAGGAGACTAGTTTGGCTAGGTTCCTCTGTATTCATAATTCATAACGTGTTAGAAAACTGTTACTCCACAGCTCGCCCCATTGACGGTTGTGATCAATGTGAATTGCATAGGAAAATTTTTCATTGCAGGAGTATTAGAGGAAACAAGAAGCCTTCAATAAATCAAGAGGAAATCAAGAATCATGTTTTCAACGAGTAAGTCTAAATCTTTTGATGTTCTAATTTCATTTTGAAATTTCTTACATTTGGTATCAGAGCCTCTATTATATGATTTAGAATCCAATTATTTAATTTATACATGATTATAATATTTTGGGTGTTCCTTTTTTTTTAATGTATATGTGATTCTTTAATTAAAAAAAAAATGAAAAACCCGATTGAAGATGGGTGAGTTGAGAATGAATCCAATCATAAATAAAAGGACAAAATATTGCATAGATGCTGAAACTCTACCTTGAAAATTCAGCGTATAGTTATAACACCTACAATGTAATTGTTGCAATTTGTTGATTGGCCTTCAATATTGTTCTTATAAATTTCAAGGCTAAACATATATAAGGTTTGGAACACGTTATGGAATACTGCAATTTGGTTGTTTGATTTGATGGTTAAATAAACTTGCTCTCGGTTTTCGAAGTATTAAAGGCCATCGTGATTTTTTTTATTTTTTTTGTAGAAATAACCAACACACATAAAACAAATAATGGTCTCTGTATTTTAAAATTCGAATATTGATAACAACCCAATAACATACTTTCTTTGGTAGTGGATATTTGAGTTTGTGGATATTTGTTGCTATCCATTCATAACAGCATTGAATTTCAAATTGTTATGGATAACTTTTTCCTTTTCATATGGTAGTAATATTATTATGTGTATGATGATACTAGACGTTCTCCCATCTTGATTTTGAATAATATATTATAATATATATTTAGAGATGACAAAAAATAAAAAACATTTGTTTTAAATGCATTTAATTATTGAGAAAAATATTTATCCTTCTAAATGACACAACTTATATCTTTTCACTCTCACAAAGAGGTGGGATTCACACCTTTATTTTTTTGCCAACTCTCTCTCCTCCTTTATCTATCTCTTTCTCTCTTTTAAAATGACACAACTTTACATCCTTTAAAATTTTAAAGACACACTTTTCCCTTAATTATTTTGCTTTCAATGGATTCAGCGACTAATGCTCAGCCGTTTTATTTGCTGAAGGTACAATTTTTTATAATGTTAATAATATGAAGTTTTTCTATTTAGCTTAATAGGCTGAACTATTAAGTTAGTATAAATTAATAAATTATTATGTTGAGTGATTCAATAGTAAAGATGACTTATGTGCTGATTACCAAAAAAATAAAGACTTATGTTCTAGGAAAATACTGGCCGTTCTTTATTTTAATTTTTTATGTTTTTTTTTAGTGGGAGCAAGTTTGTCATTGTTGTTTTATATATACTTCGATAAATACTACTTCGGCGTTATTTATGGATGCAACTTATTTCATTGATGGTTGATTTGCTACTTGGGAAAAAGACCCATTTGGATCCCTTTAGTGCAGCTCATCTGTGGGCTATGACGCGTGGGGCACTTGTGAGCCCAATATTAACCTAATTTTCATCAAATATTACTTGTGTGGTGCTATATTTTATTATTTTCTTTAAATATATCTTGAAGAAAAATATGATGATAAATTAATTTGTTATATTTTGCATCAAGTGATGATGTGATTTGGATGCAATTATGATAATAGTGTTGATTGCTCACAGCTTCTAATGCTTGCTTTAATATTTTTGTTTATTGAAGTACATGCTTCCGCTTGAATTATTTGAGTGCAAAATTTTGTTGGAAATGCTATTATCTTTGATTCATTATCCGTAGAGATATTGCATTTTCTTGTGGATTGGGTTATGGTGGTTTTGGGCAAGAGAAAATTAATTTCAGTGTAAGTTTTCATGAATTAGTATGGGTAATTGCCACCAAAGTGGGATTACTTATATTGGTTTGTGAAAAATTCTTTGTAAAATTTGAGAAATAATTTTGGTTATTTCATGCAATTTCCTGCCCAAAGGGGGAAATAGTGTGTTATAACTGTGAATTTGTTTGGGTTGAAGTTAATAGAGGTGCATTGATCTAGGAGATCTGTCTGCCCAAAGGGGACAAATCTCTGAAGTCAGTGTATGCTCACTGAAAAACTTTTCTTTGAGATTATAGATGAAGTTATTGGAGGCTCATTGGTCTAGGGATTTATCTGCCCAAAGGGAATAGATTTTCAAACCCAATGTTGTGCTCATTGATTAATTCATCTGAGGTTCTGACCTTAGTTTAGACCTTGGTTTGTTCATTCTGCCCAAAGGAGAATGTACTATTATGTTGGCCTTGTTATGACAACATGTTGTGTTCAATGATTAACTCATCCTAAGCAACTTCTTCTTGAGATTGTAGATGAAGTTATTGGAGACTCATTGGTTTAGGAATCTATCTGCCCAAAGGGGATAGATTTTCAAACCCAGTGTTGTGCTCATTGATTAACTCATATGAAGTTATAGCCTTGCTTTAACCTTGGTTAGTGCATTATGCCCAAAGGGGAATGTACTATTATGTTGGCCTCATTATAATATCTGGATTAAATTGAATGTGTATATTGTCCTTTAGTTTATTCTAATGCATACTTATTTTGCCTTAATAATGAATTTCTATTTTAGTTCCTTTAAATAGATTTGAAAACATGTTTGATTCATTTTGAAATTAATATTTTGAAATATTTATTTTAATTTTTTATATACATAAATGTTTATTTGGAATTATTTGCTCTCATTCATATTTAATTTTATGAGCTCTTATTCATGTTTAATTCTGTAATAAATATTTATGTTCCTTTTTCAAAATTTTAATTAATGAAAAATTGTTACATATTATCGTGATTATAATGTTAGTATTTACTCTCCTAATTTTAGCGTAGATTTTATGTGCTTTGTCAATTAATTTTGATTAGTGAGCTAAGGTATATAATTGCTGATATTGGGGATTGAAATTTGGGACACAAATTGTAGTTTAGTAAATGCAATATGAATTTGGAAAACATATGCTATTAGGTTTTTCATATTATTTAAGTATGATTATTCATAATGTTATTTGTGAATTGTCAGTATTTTTTGTTAATAAAAATTATTGCTTGCAATTATCTGCCCAAAGCAAGTTATTGTATGCATCAATTTTGAAATTTGCATTGAGTTAAAATTTCAAATAATGAGGAATAAGTATGTCCTATGTACTCTGTCCAAAGGAGAGTTTATAATATGCTAATTATTTTGTTAAAATTATTTCATTGCCCATAATTAATATAATTGCATTTTTGTAACAAATATACTCATGATATAAACGATAACAATGCCATAATAGAATTGTTGATTGGATTGGATTGAATTGTGATTAATGGAGATGAGATCTAGATTTTTATTTTATTTTTTTTATGTATTTTGATCTTGATAGGACATTGTGTGTTAGCCCATAATTAATGCAGAGAACATACTAGAACATGTTTTTAGTGGGAGAGATATAATTGGTTTTGTCTAATCTTGAAGTTATTGTGAGGTTAGTGGGAGGAAATTCTCTTTACTTGTATTGTATGTGGATGACTTAATTGTTAAGCATGTTAACTGACTCTCTAAGCAAAGGACTTCGTCCCATGATATTTGAAATGCATGTGAAGAAAATGGGTATTGTGAGTCACTTTGATGGGCTTGGTTAGTGGGAGTTTGAGTTCTTTGTTATTTACTTATCTTGTTGAATTGTTTATTATAGACATAATTGATATTTGGTTGATATACAAATCTCTTATGGAGCAATTGATAATGCATTGAATTTTGTCACTGTATATATTGCATATTTGTGTTTGTGGTTATCAATTGTGAAATATTGGAACTCAGTGTCGTTGAGACCACTATGCCAGTGGTTAACACTATATTGGAGTTTGAGACATGATAATAAAATTTTGGAACTCAGTGTCGTCAGGACCACCATGCCTGTGGTTGACACTATATTGGACTTTGAGGCGTGATTTTGGAACTTAGTGTCGTTGGAACCATCATCATGTCTACGGTTGACACTATATGGGAGTTTGAGACATAATGGTCTTGTTAGGACTACAGGGCCCGTAGTCGACACCGTATTTGATTATATGATGGTTTTTTGATAGACCATGAAATTTCTATGGGTTTAAGGCATTTGAGAGAAATTTGAGGACAGACAGAGAAAATAGCATTTTGGCTATTGTTGGATCACATTGACATGCTATTTTCTTGCTACACTTCAGACTAATGACAAGTCGACGGATTCAAGTAACATTTGTTACCATGGAATGTCTTATATCGGTAAGGGTATAATCAC